GGCTTTTTGGAGCTGGAGACACTTCTTGCACATGTTCAGGTCCTGGGCACTGGAAATGTGCCCAGCATCCCACATCGAGCAAGAGGAGCAAACTACAATTTGGAACTCTCCTGCCATGTCTTACTCCTTTAAGTTACTTTATCGTTACAATGTTAAATACTTGAATACTAAGTTGAAGTTTCTGATGCTCTTTGCTCCAATAACAGCTTCTCAAAACTTACCTGTTACTCACCAACAACAGCTTAAGTTTGCACTCCTTTACCCACTGGAACTCTCGCTTCTTCTCACGATGCTCTCTCTCCTCTGAACCTTGCCTCTCCCTCTTCTTTGTTTAGAGGAGGGATGGGAATGCTCTAGTAATGTAACATTTGGAAATAACCATTCCTAAACAGCAGGTTCTTTCACAATATCTTCCACATTCACACCAACTCCCAGAATGCAAACAAGTAACAACTCAGTACTTTGTTTGGATGTTCTTCCTCCAGCTTATCACCTGGGATGATCTTCCAAGATACCCTTCACACCCAAGCTGACTGTGAAGTCCACTCCCAGAATGCAAAAAAGTGACAATTCAGCACCCTCTGGTTGGATGGTAGGGGAGGGTGGTCTTGAGCAGGAGGCTGCCTACTCATGAAGGCTAAATTCGGTAAACATGAATAGAATTCGTTTCCCCAAAGGACTTCAGTGAACCAAAAGAGAGGAGACAATAAGGACTGCAGATGCTGGAAGCCAGAATCTATAAGAGAGAGGCTGGAAAAGCACAGCAGGTCAGGGGAGCAGGAAAGCCAAATGTTTCATGGGGTTATCACTACTAATACCAGTTTCCTCCCCAGCTGCCTAAAATTTTCAGTAATTAATTTGAATTTAAACTTCCTAGCTGTGACAGTGAGATTTGATTGGAGAATTCGACTCTACAGTAACATTACACATTTAGGGTACAGCCAGCAAAGACGGTCAGCTCCTGAGCCGACAGAACTTTTAATAATACCAGTAACATGGCACCCAGGGGTAAATTGTATAGTCAATCATTTAGTGGCAAATGTTGATGAAAATTTAGAAAAAATTTCAATCCACTTCTAATTTAATCAGCTCTTCAGTATAGTGTTGCCACTTCTGTCAAGATAATGCACGCCTATCATCAGGTCATAATGCAAAAAGGTTGGCAAGATCATTTAACGATTGCGAAAAGGAAGTGAACAGAGCACTCAGTGGAGCACTGCCTCTGTCACTCAACGTTATTATAATTATGCAGCTCATCCTGGAAGTTTCTCCCTGCCTGGTTGATCGTCTGTAACGATAAAAGTCTAGCAGTAAATGTTAAGAATTTTTGCCTCACTAAATGAGGCTTCAGGTCAGTCCATACCCAACAACTGCTTTGAAAATTCTGCTCAGGTTTGACAGTTGTGATAAACACTGCCATAGCAGCTGCGACACTCTTACAAGAAATGTTAATTCATCCTATCTACAAATGTTATCAGATTCATTACACAAAATCTTTGCCAAAAACAAATCAGTTCTTCCTAGGGCTGTGCAGCAAGCCCTCACTTACTGTTTCTCACAATAGTGGCTTTAAGCAATACACAATTTCCCATTTAAAAAGAATGTAAAAGCTGCAGTTAGGGTCTAAAGGAAATTCATCAGTAAAAAGAACTAAAATAACTTGCTATGCAAGTTGAAATACATAACACTGCTAAATTCCAATTGCAGCAACTTAAATTACTTTATCACATACCCTTCCTGCTGTGAATGCTCCGATACAGCTCCTTAAAAGGAGGCGCTCCAACATAGTTTCTACAACTCCCTAACCCACCCAATTGCTCGTAACTCTCTGACATGCAGTGTCATGTACTCCAACTCAGCATCTTGCCAATCCTTGCTCTTGCACGGTTCTCCTGCCCATCGCTTTTCTCCCCTTAACAGGAGAGGGCAACAGTGTGTGCAAGCATTGCCAATATGTTAGAGGGCAGGAGAGGCCACAGGTCAGAGGGTCAGCAGCAAAAAGGATGGACCAGGAGAGGAGACTATGCTCTAAGTCAAAGGGTCAGGGAGCAGGACTGTATGCTAGAAAATAGTGCCAAATTAGCCACAAAGTCAGACCAAAATTAAGTACCTAAAATTTAATCTTCTGATGAAAATACATGCACAACTGACTGATGTTAAAGCAACACAGTTCAGTATTGGTAAGTTACACTGAACTGTGCTGACTGTACGCTATTTTTGCAATAGTTATCTCCATTCTATTAATTATAAACTTGAAATGTAAGCTGTGTTTTTTAAACTGCAATGAGACAGCTAACTTGTATTTTGAGGAACCTAAGTTCAACTGATTTTACATTGATCACTTAAGTTGGTGAAAGATTGAAAGAGACATGCTCAAAAGGATAACGACAAGAGGGTTGAAACTGATATTTAACATGTCATTGTACCTTTTACATCAGGGTCATCTATGTGCGGCTCTAAGTTTTCCAGCATCTCTTCCAGTTCCTTTCTAGTAGCTGTGCTGAAGCTTGGACAGTCTGTTAGTGCTTCTTCTTGCATTAATTCTTTACTTTTTTGCTTATCTGAACATTGTGGCAGCTCTAGTTCCAAATCAAGATCTATAGTAGGGATAGGAGTCCTCCAGTAATGGAATGAGTTAAACATGTCCTCCGGAATGACAGTCTTTTCTGAACTGGACCCAGATTCTTTTGAAGATGGACTTGGATCTGCAGAGTCTGAATTTGGTAACTGACTTACATTGAGCACTCTGCTTCCTTCAGATGATTCAGATTTAGTACATACATGAGAATCAGAATGCAACTGCAATGACATTGCCTGGGAATGACTGGCATCACTACTACATTTGCTGTCAGTGTTATGCTCATTTTTTGAAGAGAGTTCAGTAGCTGTATTTACTGATCCCACAGTACTGCAGTTAAAGCCTGGCGTTTGTTCTTCTGTTTCAAGATTATCCATGGTTCCATCTGCACCTTTTGTTGGTTCTGCTGCACATTTTGCACTAAGGTGAAAGATAACATAGACTATTATTTTTATCAATAATAGTCAAGACCAAATAAGTGTTACTTCATAGCTTAAATTCTTAGAAGAAACTTAAACAAGATAAACAAGGCAGCTGTAACACGGTGTCCTGCACTCTGTTCTGTTACCCTAACGGACTTGTACGGTACGATCTGACTGTAAAGCTCCTAAGTCAACACTTTGCACTGTATCTTGGTACACATAACAGTAATAAAATCAAATCAAAATTAAACTTGACAATTTTTGACTTTAAAGTCAGTACAGAGAATTAAGTAATCCAAAAATTCTCCTTTAGAAAAATACACCTATGGATTTACAATGAAGTCACCCAATCATGTTGGCTGCTAAGAGGTTGATAGCAATGTCTAGCCTAAAGACAAAGTTTGAGTTAAGTCTTCTATCAAATCCTGGAATTTAAACATTTAATTCAAAGTCAGCGAAAATGGGCGCACCACGAGTTTCTCTTACTGTATAAAATATAGATATAAAATAATTGTAAGTTGATATACACTTATTAAAAAGTCAGCTTTCTATCCTATATGGTTTTTGAACAACACACTACAATTAAGAGGTCAAATTTCTTAAAAAAGTGATCCAAAAAATTTTAGCCATTTGTTTTTCTTTTGTCCAGCAAAGACGGTAATTACCAGCCCTTCCTAACTCCCTACCTACACTCACCTTTACTGGCTCCATCCCCACCTCTTCGACCTGTTTGTTTCCTCTCCACCTATCCTCTCCTCTATCCCTCTTCTATCCGCCTCCCACTCTCTCCCTATTTATTTCAAAACCCCCTTCCCCTCCCCCTTTTCTGATGAAGGGTCTAGGCCCGAAACGTCAGCCTCTCTGCTCCTATGATGCTGCTTGGCCTGCTGTGTTCATCCAGCCCTGCACCTTGTTGTCTCAAAGAGAGTGTTCTGTTGGCCAGTGTGGATGTTACTTTGAAGATACTTTGGTATGATTCTATTAAAAATGATTCTCACGACAAGGCCATTTAAAGCATTTCAGGAATTATATTAACAGCACTTCAGTTAGCGGAGAATACTTTCAATTACTGCTTATTGTGTAACAAAAATAAACAAAAGCCTAGCCACAGTTCAACTGCAAACAGCCTGAACCTGGCCATAGCTAGGAAGGTAAAAATGTCATTGAAAGCAGAGAGAAAAGTGGTGAGGAACAAAATTAACATCTAACAATCAACCTATTTTACTGCTACATGGAAATGGTTCAAGTATGGTAGTGCAGTGACTAGATATTAGACTAATAAGCCAAAAGACTGATCTAAAGCCAGAGAACACAAGCTCAAATCACACAAATGGTAGTTTGCTGAATTTGAATTGGTGTAAAATTACTCTCCAAACCTGCTGGCTTATCCTGGCCATTGCCTTAAATAAACCCATGAAAAATTGCCTCTTATATGGTTTATTAAGCCACTCAGTGGTACAGGGAAACTAGAGATGGATAATGAAAGCAGTCACCTTGAGAATCAATAAAACAGAATGATTAAAATAAGAAAAATACAATGGCTACAGACTGTACCTATTATTGTTTTCTGTCCCTTGGCTCTCCAACACATTCTTGGAAGAAAGCACATCTTCCTCTTTGAAGTAATGGCCAGCACCTGAAGAGCTAGCAAAGGTTGAGATGAAAGGCCCTAATGACTGAAAGGCAGCTTGACGAACCTGCAAAAGAGCATTTTAATGTTAATCCATTACTAGTGCCATCTATAGTAAATCAAAATGGAAAGTAAACTAACCCTGGTAACGAAGAATAAAATCAAAAAATGCATTAAACACTCAGCAGGTTAGACATCAATTGTGGAAAAAAATATGTTTCAGATCAGTGACCTTTTGTCAGAACTTGAAAGAGTCGAGATGCAACAGCTTCTAATCAAACATGGAGGCATGGAAAGGGGAGGGGAACACAAAGCAAAAGCTGTGATATAGTAGAAGGCATGAGATTAAAAGGTCAGGTTGCCACAGTCCTAGAGTACCACAAGGCTGCTCTCTCATTAGAGCAACATGACTGCTGGCAGTTTAGCTGAGGGTCAAGAACATGGGATCTTGACGGTGATCTCAGTCGACGTGGGAATTGAACCCAGTCTACTGATGTCATTACTAGATATTGGGGAATTAAATTTCTGAAGGCAGTTTGCCTTGGATGCAGAGACTAGTTTTGACAAACACCCTTGAAGAAACTTTTTTTCCAACAACAAAAAAGGTATAAACAAGATAACCTTGTGTGAGTACGAAGAGACAAATAACATAACAAAGGGGGGCAGAAACAATTTTGAAACAGGGTCACTACGACGTCGAGAGCCACTTCACAAGTTGAAGAGGGAAGCTGCTCCAAAATTGTTAGTTTTGTCACAGGATCATAGTTAAACTTAATCCTATGTATAACTTTGTAAGTAACTTTATATTACAGCTGATGTCACAAATATTATAACTGGTAGAAATTAACATCACTTTTAATCTTCTGCACAAAGTTCAGCAAGGGATATGAATTGCATAACTGAATTTGAAAAGTCAATAGTAATAAGCAAGTATACGATACAGCTGGCAAATGTCGAGGAAGAGACATAAAAATCAGTGTTGGAATGTGGTCAATAATCTTAGGAGCCCAAAGACAGGGTGTGGCAAACACCATAAGATGATGGGAGAACCTAAGGTGGACCCTGGAGCTGCTCATCATTGACCTTGTATTCTCAGGGTTGGATATATAGGTCAGAAGGGATATGGCAAGCACTGATGTCAATGTTGTATGTAACCATTGTAACACAGTACGCATAAATATCCTGTACTTTATTAGGAAAGGTAGACAGACAGTCACTGGCCTCTGATCCGAGCTGTGTTTATGAGGGCAACTGTGCCTCAAGTGAAAGCAAGTTTTAGAGCAGCCTCTGGCCTCTCCCACACGCATGGTAAAGGAGTTCTGAATGAAGATTGATTTGTGCTACTTAACACGGGACTCAGACTCCTCTTTAAAAATCCCTCTCCAACATCTATATACAGTTCAATAAATATAAATCATTCAAAAACAATACTTTACCCCAAAACCTTGATATTACCAATGCATTTGCAAAGCACACTGATAGTTTCCCAAGATGTATCTTCACATGTTACACAGTTGAAAAGACATTTCTTCATTTATTCCATTCCTCCTATCCATATAAATTTCATCTTCTTGGCCTGCTATTGAGGTGCTGCCCAATCTTATCTGACGATAGCTACCTTCTTGCACTCTTTCACTCCAAAGAAGTGAGACACTTCATGGACACAAACTGATTTACTTACATTACATACAATGATTGCACAGGCTGAGAATATTGCTGATCAAATTTGCTTTGTTTACGCGTAGGCGGCGATTCAAAAGCTGGGAATCAGGGAAATTGAGCAGGAGGGGGCAAATTACCACAGAAAGTAAACGTCTAAGCAGCCAGTGATAATTCCAAGAAGGAAGGCAAACTTTTGTGATAAAGCACAAAGATACAGAATTCAAACTAAGCTTCAACTATGCAGGTGATTATTGAGCAGTAATACCATGATAGGCAACATTTGGACTCAGGTTTAGGAGCAGGAGGTTTTATGCTAGTCAATAAAATGTATGCAATTTTTGCCCTTCATATATTGCAGTTCACAAAAGAACAAATATCTGATACTTGTTAAAAATAAACATTTTTCCTGTCAATTAAAAATTCACACAAGGTCTTCGACAGATAAGAGCCACCCACACAGAGTATGGTAGCCACAGGTGGGAGCTCATGAAACATATGTACAAGCAATTTACAATAGAAAATTAAGATAGCCATACAAGCTTTATAACTTTATTGCTTAACTAATAGAATTTCAGAACAAACAGAAAAAACATTACACCTCACCCATCGTGAAGGGTCGCTGATCAGATTAATGAAGAGTGAAGATAGTTTCGTTCTTCGAATTTCTTGAGACGTTGCACAAGAAACGTCCATAAAGCATTCAGCACATGCTTTCCGCACTCCCCATACATTATCAGAGCAGAGCTGGAAAAACCTAGGTAACTGCACAGAAAAATCCAAGGAAATTGCCACTTCAATTATAGCTGTCTCTTTATTTCAGACCAAAAAAGTGATATTCAAAGACTACCACTGGTGATATTGTGTTACAACAGAATCATTGGGCCTTTGTAAAAATACACACAAACATGCGAGTTATGAATTCAAGATAAACTCAATATATTTTGAATTTTATTCTCAAGTGGTCAGTAGAATTTCATGAACTGATTCTGGCATTTGCAATGGAAAAGCCCCATGGTGCTTTATAAAATGGCAAAGATAACAAAAGTCGGGATGCTCAAAACTGTCAAGATTTGAAATTAATTTCAATGCAGTGTTTGAGGTAGGTTGTTCCTACATCTATTTTAATTATGGAATCCTTTGTAACTAGAACAGAAATGAAAACTAAAACATCTAATTCAAGTAGTAAATGGAAAGTAGTTAAAAATCACATTTCAATTGTTGTCAAAATTCAACATTACATTGAGACTCATTTCTCAAAACAGCAGGAAGTTCTACTAACACTTCGTTGAAGAAATACATTGCCTGCTATGTTACTGATCTCGATACATTCAAGTGATTGCTTAAATCCTGGTCTGTCCCATCTTTCCAGATCTCAGCGACAGTATTATAATTGATGTCAGTATCTCCATGCTGGGAGGCGGGGGTGGTGTTGGTGGCAGTGGTGGAACGGTTCCCTACACATATTTCGATCTAGCGACCATCCCCAGAAAGTAAATATGCCGGGCAAGGATCAGATTTAGTTCCCTATCCGATCATGCAGCGTGGTCAAATGCCCTGCTGTCAAGGTTCATACATTAGGAATGGCTCTTGGTGCATTATCCTAAAGCTGCTGGCACCTGTCCAACTTTACCTCAGGAATTCCATGGAAGAAGAGAAAAAGAAGGAAACAGGAGACAAATAATAGGAAAAAAAAAACAAGACCTGCTCAGTTTTATTTGTTGAGAAATATTGGTTTATTGCTAGCTAACAAAGAAATCCTTAACAGTTATGCAAGAATAAGTATCAACAGACACGAGTCATGCACGCATTATGGGTGTGACAACCTTGGGTCTTGATGTGATTTCATAAATTAATTTGAATACTTGGTTGCTGTACAAAATCAATAGTTGCAGTGAATGCGATTAGATTCCAATTCCAAAAAAACACAGGTTATTAAATGCACACCCATTCACTTTTGCCGTCAACCACATTCTGACCTAATTATTCATGAGAAAAGATCAATTACTGTTCAGTACTTACGCAGTGAGAAATACTTAATTAATCACGATTCTTATTTAGAACTTGTCACGGCAACAAAAATGGTTAACTACAACTGTTGAACAAGTATTTTTCTTTTCTTTGCAGTCCTCAAGAGTCAAATACAACAATATTTGTTATTGAATGCTAATGACTATTGTATCCATACCTACCAGCAACCTTTCAGTGGCCTCACGACCAACAACACTAGATATATCTCCAATATTGGCAGCACACACCTGAAATAAGAAATTCAAGTTTATTATAAATTAAAATGAAAAATAAAGGGGGTGGGTGGAGCAATCAACATGCTAATTATGTAAACTAACCTTACGAACGTGGAACATCCGGCAGTCACAGCACATCTCACAGAACCGGTGCAGTATATATTTTTCGGTGATTGCCTTTCCGACCATGGGAGCCATTTTACACATTATCTACAATCAAGGCAAAAGCAAACCAGTAAAATTAAAACCAGCATCGCCTACTCCGGCAAGTTTTTCTTAATTTCTGTTTCACAAATTTCTTTTTCAGAAATTATGTTCCTTCTGGGTACACATGCAATCGCTGCAATAACAACTCATACTTTTCACAACCTACTTAAGGCCATAGACTATTAGGTTCTCTGAGCACTTTGCCCCATTCTCTCTTCCCCACAAACTTTACACTGTGACCTATAAAGTCCTATTAATTGGTTTGTTAGTTAGTTAGCTAGTTAACTTAGGATGCTGTGGGAAGTGATTGCTGGACCCCTTGCTGAGATACTTGTATCATTGATAGCCACAAGTGAGGTGCCGGAAGACTGGAGGTTGGTTAACTGGTGCCACTATTTAACAAAGGTGGTAAGGAAAAGCCAGGGAACTATAGACCGGTGAACCTGACTTTGACGGTGGGCAAGTTGTTGGAGGGAATCCTGAGGAACACTATTTACATGTATTTGGAAAGGCAAGGACTGATTAGGGATAGTCAACATGGCTTTGTGCATGGGAAATCATGTCTCACAAACTTGATTGAGTTTTTTCAAGAAGTAACAAAGAGGATTGATGAGGGCAGAGTGGTGCATGTGACCTACATGGACTTCAGTAAGGCATGTGACAAGGTTCCTCACGATAGACCAGTTAGCAAGGTTAGATCACACAGAATACAGGGATAACGAGCCATTTGGATACAGAACTGGCTCAAAGGTAGAAGACAAAGGATGGTGGTGGAAGGTTGTTTTTCAGACTAGAGGTCTGTGATCAGCAGTGTGCCACAAGGATCAGTGTTGGGTCCACTGCTTTTCATCATTTATATAAATGATTTGAATGTGAACACAAGAGGTATGGTCGGCAAGTTTTCAGATGACATCAAAATTGGATGTGTAGTGGACAGAGAAGGAAGTTACCTCAGAGTATGATGGGATATCGATCAGATGGCCAATGGACCGAGGAGTGGCAGATGGAGTTTAATTTAGATAAATGTGAGGTGCTGCATTTTGGAAAGGCAAATCAGGGCAGGACTTATACACTTAATGGTAAGGTCCTGGGGAATGCTGCTGAACAAAGAAACCTTGGAGTGCAGATTCATAGTTCCTTGAAAGTGGAGTCACAGGTAGGCAGGGTAGTGAAGGCGGCATTTGGTATGCTTGCCTTTATTGGTCAATGCATTGAGTACAGAAGTGCGGAGGTCATGTTGCAGCTGTACAGGACATTGGTTAGGCCCCTTTTGGAATACTGCATGTAGGGCACCTCCCAGTCGCGAACCATTTCAACTCCCACTCCTTGGACGACATGTCCATCCTGGGCCTCCTGCAGTGCCACAATGATGCCACCCGAAGGTTGCAGGAACAGCATTTCATATTCCGCTTGGGAACCTTGCAGCCCAATGGTATCAATGAGGACTTCACAAGCTTCAAAATGTCCCTTCCCCCAAACGCATCCCATAACCAGCTCGTACCTGCCTCCCTAACCTGTCCTCCCAGCTATCCCCTCCTGCCACCTCAAGCTCCACCCCCACCTCCTACCTACTAGCCTCATCCCGCCCCCTTGACCTGTCCGTCCTCCCTGGACCGACCTATCCTCTCCTTAACTCCCCACCTACACTCACCTTTACTGGCTCCAACCCAGCCTCCTTGACCGGTGTCTCCTCTCCACCTACGTTCTCCTTTATCCGTCTTCTAACCGCCTCCCCCTTTCTCCCTATTTATTTCAGAATCCCCTTCCCCTCCCCCTCCCCATTTCTGAAGATGTCTAGACCCAAAACGTCAGCTTTCCTGCTCCTCTGATGCTGTTTGGCCTGCTGTGTTCATCCAGCTCTACACCTTGTTATCTGTAATTCTGGTTTCCCTGGTGTAGGAAGCATGTTGTGAAGCTTGAAAGAGCTCAAAAACGATTTACCAAGGATGTTGCCAGGGCTGGAGGGTTTGAGCTATAGGGAAAGGCTGAATAGACTGGGGCAATTTTCCCTGGCACATCAGAGGTTGAAGGGTGACCGTACAGACATTTATAAATGATGAAGGGGATAGCGTAAATAGCCAAGGTCTTTTCCCTGGGGTGGGAGAGCCCAAAACTAGAAGGCATAGGTTTAAGGTTGGTGGGGAAAGATTTAAAAGGGGAAACATTTTTATGCAGAGGGTGGTGCGTGGATGGAATGAGCTACCAGAGGAAGTGGTGGAGGCTGGTACAATGACAACATTTAAAAGGCATCTGCATGGGTATATGAATAGGAAGGGTTTAGAGGGATATGGGCCAAGTGCTGGTAAACAGGACTAGATTTATTTAGGATATCTGGTTGGCATGAACAAGTTGGACAAAAGGGTCCGTTTCTGTGCTATATATCACTATGACTATCTCATCCTTTTTGTCATTAAATACTTGCATCCTCCACACAAAATGACCAAGCATAAGCTTTCCAAATACTAAACAAGTTATCGTCAATATATAAAAAATTCATGGCACCAGATATTCGGTGTCACATATGGGTTGCCATGTCCAAGAAAGGCTTTTACTCTCAAAGTTAATAATGCCAGGTATGTTTTGTTGGGTGCAGGCAGTTCCCTGGAATTTCTTCCAAGTGGTACCCATTCTTCATGCTCCACCTATGTACTGAGGGGGCAGTCTCTTCTCCCATGGAAGGCATTACAGCAAGCTCAACTCAATTTCCATCTAGTTTCCCTAAGTTTCACTTTAATTGAAAACCTGGCTGATTATTCTTCTCGTTAATGAAGAGCAAGGACTAATCTTAGTGCCACTGCTTCTTATCCAGGAACAACAAACTCAAGAAAGATCATTAAGTGGATCAGCTGATAAAACCTTGATGCTGGTACAGTTTGCCTTTATCTACTATTCAAGTAGGAAGCTACTCATCTTTTTCTTTAAAGAGATCAATGCAGAAACAACAGTTTGGCTATTTCAGACACCTGGATGTTTGTTAAAGAATAATACATTGTGTATCTGCTTTAGAAAAAGAAATATTAGAATTAGCTTTATTGTCACATGTACTCAGACGATACAGTGAAAAGTTTACAAGTTGCCACTTACAGCGCCATCTTAGGTACAAAGATACTCAAGTATATTCTTATGTACAAAATCACAGATATAATTCAGGGGAAAAAAAATAAACATTTAGAATAACAGTGCTTCCAACTCAGTCCGTGCCAGCACCTAGCCCGCAGATGATGCTGGGCTTCATCTCAAGGCTCACTAGGCTGGAAGAATGCACTGCCTTCACTTGAGGCTCAAACAAGGAAACAAAAAACCCAAAATGAAAAAAAACACAAAAGAAGTGGACGGAGCAGACAGGCTCCAGCTGAGTCCTACTCTACATCTTATACATGTACCCTAGAGTTCCTCTGTTCTACTTATTTCTTTCTACATATCCATAAGACCGTACGACAGAGGAGTAGAAATTAGGCCATTCAGCCCATTGAGTCTGCCCTGCTATGTTTCTCAACCCGTAACCTTTGATCCCCTTGACAATCAAGGACCTATCTATCTGTCTTAAATATACAGAATGACCTGGCCTCCTCAGCCTTCTGAGGCAGTGAGTTCCATCGATTCACCATTCTCTGGCTCAAGAAGTTTCTCCTTATCTCTGTTCTAAAAGGTCTTCCCTTTACTCTAAGGCTGTGTCCTCGGGTCCTAGTCTCTCCTACCAATGGAAATATCTTCCCAACATCCACTCTGTCCAGGCCAATCACTTTTCTCTAAGTTCAATTAGATACCCCCTCATCCTTCTAAATTCCACTGACTATAGACCCAGAGTCGTCAAACATTTCTCATATGTTAAAATTCTAGTTCCTGGGACCATTCTCACGAACCTCCTCTGAACCTACTCCAGGGACAGTACATCGTTCCTGAGATATGGGGCCCAAAACGCAGCACAATACTCCAAAAGTGGCTTGACCAGAGCCTTATAGGGTGTCAGAAGTACATCCCTGCTTTTATATTCAAGTGCTCTCAAAATAAATGCCAGCATTGCATTTGCCTTCGTAACTACCGACTCAACCTGCAAGTTTACCTTGAGAGAATCCTGGACTAGAACGCCCAAGCCTCTCTGCATTTCCTCCCCATTTAGAAAATAGTCCATGCCTCTATTCTTCTTACCAAAGTGTATGACCTCACATTTTCCCACGTTGCACTGCATCTGCCACTTCTTTGCCCTCTCTCCTAACCTGTCCAAATTCTTCTGCAGCCTCCCCACATCCTCAATTCTACCTGTCCCTCTACCTATCTTTGTATCATCTGCAATGTTAACCACAAGGCCCTCAGTTCCTTCATCTAGATCGTTAATGTATAAAGTGAAAAGTTGTGGTCCCAACACTGACCCTTGTGGAACACCACTGGTCACAGTCTGCCATCCCGAGAAAGACCCTTTTATCTCCACCCTCTACCTTCTGCCAGAGAGCCAATCTTCTATCCACACTAGCACCTTGCCTTTAACACCAGGGGCCCTTATCTTATTCAGCAGCCTCCCGTGCGGAACCTTGTCAAAGGCCTTCTTGAAGTCCAGGTAGATAACATCCATTGGTTCTCCTTGGTCTAACCTGCTCTCCACTTCCTCAAAGAATTCTAACAGATTTGTCAGGCATGACCTCCCCTTGATGACCATCCTCCCTCATGCCTCTGTAGTTGTCTTTATTCAGCTGTAATACCATTACCTCTGATTCTATCTTCTCCCTCTCAAATTGCACAGTAAATTCAATCGTATTATGATGACCGCCTCTGCAGGGTTCCTTCACCTTAAACTCCCTCATCAAGTCTGCCTCTTTGCACGACACTAAATCCAGTATTGCCTGTTCCCTAGTGAAGTTCACCACAAGGTGCTCCAAAAAGCCATCTCATAGATATTCCACAAATTCCTTTTCTTGCAATCCACTACCAACCTGATTTTCCCAGTCCATCTGCATATTGAAATCCCCCATGATCACTGTAACTTTGCCTTTCTTACACATCTTTTCTATCTCCTGGTGTATTTTGCGCCCCAGCTCCTGACTGTTGTTTGGAGCCCTGTACATAACTCCAACTACGGTTTTTTCTTTTAACCTTTGCGGTTCCTCAATTCTACCCACACAGATTCTACACCATCTGACCTTACTTTGTTTTTTATTATTGATTTAATTTCATTTCTTACTAATAAGGCAACCCCACCCTTCTGCCCACCGCCTATCCTTTTGATAGGAAGTATATCTTAACTTAGTCAATTTAACCATTTGAATTCTGCAATTCTTTGGAAAACTTAGAAAAATCTGTAAACCATGTGCATCTTCTTTATAATTTCCAATTCATAAATAGCTTAAATGACTTGGTCACCTGTTTCGGCACAGAGATTGACTTCTGCCAGGTATGAGGTGATAATTCAAACCAAAAAAAAGCGTAGCTCAACACTGCAGGAATGGCTCAGCCAGGGACTGGAGAGCTCATAATTTTAGTGCTGGGCCTTGAAATTGACAATGGAAATTCAAATAGATGGTGCCTTGTTAGCCTTTTAAATTGGGCTTATGACATCAACGGGGCTGGGAGGCAGATTAGAAGTAGCAATGTTTAGTTTCCACAGAATGTGGTACTTGGTGTTTAACAGTACAGCAGCAGCTCTGAAAAGGGACACCTGAAAACTGCTTTTAAAAAAAAAGGAAAGAGGAAAAATTCTACAAAAATACCTTAAAAACCAAAGGAACGATATTGCTGCTCTGAGCCTCTTAAAATTGCCCACTCTTTCATGGTCTTCCCTCAAAAGTAGTAGTATTAAGAAAGTGACCATAAAGCAATGGCCAGCTTCAACAATAAATCTTAATTAGCTGATAGCAACTTCAGCAGATTTGAACATCTGCAACTGCATCATCTCTTCCAGAAATAGATTTACACAAAATGGCATATAAATTTGACGCTTAACTCAACAGAAAGCCAACAATACTGAAATTACTAAAAGTGTGGGAAAATACAATTCTTAAATTTTAATCTAAAGTTGGGAAGCATGTAACCAATCTAACCTTCTAAACACCGTGAACAAAAAGAGTTGAATGTTTTTGGGGGTGGCATGGCGGCACAGTGGTTAGCACTGCTGCCTCATAGCACCAGGGATCCAAGTTTGATTCCAGCCTTGGGTTACTGTCTGTGTGGACTTTACACATTCTCCATGTCTGCGTGGGTTTTCTCCCACAGTCCAAACATGTGCAGGTTTGGTGGACTGGCCACGCTAAATTGCCCCATTGTGTCTAGACATGTGTAGGTTAGGTGGATTAACCATGGTAATTGCGCGGTTACGGGGATAGGGTGGAGAATAGGTCTGGATGGGATGCTCTCCAGGGGGCCAGCACGGACTTGACGAGCCGAATGACCTCTTTCCACACTGTAGGGATTCTACGAGAATCAATGAAGGAGGAAGGATTCAGCTTTTAACAGGATATGCAGAAAAGCTTCCTCTTCCATTCATTACACAGGGGAATTTGAACTATAATTAAGGATAAGCCTATGCCTAAACAAGACTAACTAAAAAGTTAGGAAATGAGAACCAAGTAAAGGAAGGTACATATTAGTGGTTGTAAGAACAGAATATAAAAGCCGATGATACTTAAGACATGCAGATTTGTTTCACTGGAAGGGTTTAGAAGGCAGTTTTATAAAGTGGGTACTGGTATAGATAGTTTAGAAATTGATCACGATCTAATAACTGAGCTCAACTACTGACGTGTTCAAATTCTCAAAACAAAAAAACTTTGACTTGCAGCTGAAGTACTGTTGTTAAGTGCACATTTGCTTATTTTCAGCTTAATCCATCTATTCGACAATGTTGAGGATCCTATCAATTTCAGTAAACTATAACAACACATGCTTTTGTATCTCTAACACTACCTAACCCTTTTTTGAATTAAGACAATTCCACAATGTAAACATTCCCTACATTTAAACACATTTTCAGGTATACATTGTACATAAAAACAGTTTCCATCTTTTAGCCTGAATGCAATATACCCATATTCTGTGGAATATTACCAAACCTTTGCATGAGTAACTAGCATGGCTAAATTTAATTGGAAGAAAATGTGCATTTCACTTACTGCTACAGCTTCTGTTTTCAGATCATCATTGCTTTCAGGTGCAGTTAGATCCAAGAGAACAGGACATACTTTAGTTTCAACATCATATCTTTCGATTATTTCTTGTTCTAACACCACCAGCAATGCTGCCTGGCTGGTCTTCCTCACCTACAAATAGTAAGCAAAGGCATGAAGTAGTCTGCAACCAAACAAATTAGTTGAAGGAACTCAAAATGAAGCATGTATACATTACATATCAGGAATTCATTGATTTGACACTAAGAAGAAACTTCAAACAGAAACATTTTAATAAAGCTGTACAAGGGTTTCTCTTATAACACATGTTCTGGCAACATGAATTGGCTATAATGCGATTGACGTATAGGGGAACAGTATTTGTAAACGGAAACTGTGAGTTGGCTATAACGCAATTTCAACGTCAACATCACTTGATTGGTTCGCGGGCTTGTTCTGAGCATGTGCCGAAGGACTACCTGCGCTGCCATCAAGGATCCTCATGCGGTGAGAGGTACTGTACAATTCTACCGTGCTCCCCATAAAATGAGGGGACAAAAGTGGCAAGAATGATCACTAAAAGTGACCTGGTGATAAAATTGAGAGTGGTGTACGTAAAACGCTAAATCACGAAGAGAAGCCAGATGTTGTAAAGTGTTTTGAGCTTAATGAGCCAACCCCCAAGAAACTGTCAGAAGACACTGAACCACAGCCATCCACTTCTGGATTAACTATTTTTCGCCCTCACACTGCAAACAAAACTGCACTTGAAGGTGGTGATGATGATGATGACGACGACAACCCTCAGCCCTTGCATTAAAAACAGAGCAACCTCAGAACCTCCTGCCCCATCAAGTCATCTTGACATTTTTTCAAGATAAGGTGATAACTTTACTGTTATTTCATTATCACGTCAGTGAAACGTTTGTTCAAACCGTGCTAGACTTTGTGTTACGCTTGAGTGATTTTTGAGTCAGTGATTTTTGTTGGTGTGCCCCTAACCCCACCCTTTTCCCATAGGCCCCATTATTTCTATAACGTGTCGTTTCACAGGAATACATCTATTACGTTATTGCGGAATCCTGTGTCTATATTTTGTCATTTACTAACTTCTAAAACTAGGCTTCAGCAATTTCATATGACACCTTCACATAATTACTGCATTTGGTGCAACTTTATATCTGACTATTACTTCAACCACCAACAAGTCAACTAATTTAATCCATTAGCATAATATTAAATAGTAAATTACCAACCCCTAATAAACTTCAATACAAGATTTTCTAACTCTGCAAATAAATCAAGCAGTTCACAGGGAAGCTAACCAGTATTTAAACCATTTTTGTTAGATTGCATTGGTTAGGGAACTTTTTCTGTGCCTTTTTTGCAGTATGTTGACTCTTTTCCTGATAACATCTGCTTGGAGACATGACTGAATTGAAGAAGTATGGTTTTCCACATTTCTCCAGGATCATAACTGAAAGCAAGTCAATTGTCAGCAGACTAAATGAACTTCCAAGAATACCACACAGTCTGATCTTGTCTTCATTTGATGTTACATGGACAAACCTACAGCAAGACTTACCAGATACTAAACTGACAGGTGCCCCAACAGCTTTCTCCTCCCTAATGGGCAGTCTGTCAACTGCAGTGCTTATAGCTTCAGCTGACATCTGTCAACGGTGGAGAACTGGTTCTGAAGAAGAGCCTTTAGTGACTGTAACGAGGTCAGCCAAGTGGAACTTAGAATACGATTTCCCGATTGGGGCTGTTAACCTGGTCCAATCAGGGAGAAACAAAAACAGAAATTGCTGGAAAAGCTCAGCAGGTCTGGCAGCATCTGGGAAGAGAAATCGGAGTTAACGTTTTGGGCCCGGTGACCCTTCCTCAGAATGATAGCCAGGAAAATGTCGGTTTTAATGCGGGGGCGCGGGGAGTGCGCGCGTTCAGAAGTAAACGATTGGTGGGGATGGAACCCGAAGATACAGATGAACAGTTGGACATCAAATGCATAGATAACAATGTGGCCAGGACGGGGACTAGCTGTTAATGGAGACTGTTAGTGGCTAACAATGGGTTGTGTGTAATAGCAGACTGTGATACAAGGCCTGGTGTGTGGGGGTGGGGGCTAGGAGAGTTCAAGCCCTAAAGTTATTAAATTGATATTGGAATCCAGAAGGCTGCAGGGTCTCCAAACAGAAAATGAGGTGCTGTTCTTCCAGCTTACGCTGAGCTTCGCTGGAGCACTGCAGCAAATCTGAGACAGATATACTGGCCAGAGAACAGGGAGCCCTGGCTGACATATATACAGGAGTGTCAGAGGTTCTGTTCTACTCAGACCTGACTCCAAGGAAGCCAGTGCCAAGTACTAAAAAACAAAGCGTGACCTGGTGATGAGGTACCAGCCTCTCAGGATTTATTTCACAAACATGGACTCTCTCACCCCACAGCTGCTGATTTTCACCATCATTTTCTGTTCTTATTTCAGATTTCCATCTTCTGCAGTATTTATTTTTATCCCAATCATATTTTTCATGCCAATTTAATTATGACTACAATGCACATTCTGCCTGAACAATAAACCAGCCATTCAACAGTAAAATAGATGCACTGAATCACAATTGTTTAGTAGCTCCCTTAAAACACCATCCAAAGTTTCCCCAATGTAGGAGCTCAAGGTAGGAAAGCTTCCGAGAGGCCTGGTGCAGTGGGTGTTTAGTGAAGGAGGTTGCAGATGGTTAAACAGCCTTGGCCCAAGGATTTAAGTGCGAGTCATTGACCAATTAATTTCCAAGTATCAGGTTTCCAAGAAAAAAAAATACAGATCTTAGATTTAGCGCTGGTATCTTGGATAAATCCTGAGCACAACTCCTTACAACCCTCCAGATTCATAAAGCGCAAATTGCTTAAACCATGCTCCTCCTATTTGCATCAGAGGAGCAGGAAGGCTGATGTTTCAGGCCTAGACCCTACTTTTTCTGAAGAAGGGTGTAGGCCCAAAACGTCAGCCTTCCTGCTCCTCTGATGCTGCTTGGCCTGCTGTGTTCATCCAGCTCTACATCTTGTTATCTCAGGTTCTCCAGCATCTGCAGTTCCTGCTAGCTCTCCTATTAATTGCTGTGTTTTTGAAGGTGGTCTCAAGTTCAAAAAGGTTTTGTTTCAGATAATAGAAATTTCAAAATGTAGTTGAAATAGAACGTAGAACAGTACAGCACAGTGCAGGCCCTTCGGCCCACGATGTTGTGCCGACCTATTATCCTACTAAGATCAATCTACCCTGCATACCTTACATTTTACTATCCTCCATGTGCCTATCCAAGAGTTGCTTAAAAGTCTCTAACTATCTGACTCCACTACCACTGCCGGACTCCACTACCACTGCCGGCAGCGCATTCCACACGCCCACCACTCTCTGTGTGAAGAACCTACCTCTGACATCTCCCCTATACCTTCCTCCAATCACCTTAAAATTACACCCCCTCGTAATAGTCATTTCCGCCCTGGGAAAAAGCGTCTGACTATCCATTCTATCTATGCCTCTCATCATCTTGTAAACCTCTATCAACTCACCTCTCATCCTTCTTCACTCCAATAAAAAAAAGACCCTAGCTCCCTCAACCTTTCCTCATAAGACCTGCCCTCCAGTCCAGGCAGCATCCTGGTAAATCTGCTCTGCACCCTCTCTAAAGCTTCCACATCTTTCCTGTAATGAGGTGACCAGAACTGAACACAATATTCCAAGTGTGGTCTAACAAGAGTTTTATAGAGCTGCAGCATAATCTCACGGCCCTTAAACTCAATTCCCCTGCCAATGAAAGCCAACACACCATACACCTTCTTTACAACCCTATCAACTTGGGTAGCAACTTTGAAGGATCTATGGACGTGGACACCAAGATCCCTCAGTTCCTCCACACTGCCAGGAATCCTGCCCTTAACCCTGTATTCTGCATTCAAATTCGACCTTCCAAAATGAATCACTTCACACTTTTCTGGATTGAATTCCATCTGCCACTTCTTTGCTCAGCTCTGCATCCTGTCAATGTCCCGTTGCAATCTACAACAGCCCTCCACACTGTCCACAACTCCACCAACTTTTGTTTCATCGGCAAACTTACTAACCCACCCTTCCACTTCCTCATCCAAGTCATTTACAAAGATCACGAAGAGCAGAGGTCCCAGAACAGATCGCTGCAGAACACCACTGGTCACCGAGCTCCAGGCTGAATACTTTCCATCTACTACCACCCTCTGTCTTCTATTGGACAGCCAGTTTTGTATCCAGACAGTCAAATTTCCCTGAATCCCATGCCTCCTTACTTTGAATGGGCCTACCATGTGGAACCTTATCAAATGCCTTTCCAAAATCCATATACACCACATCCACTGCTGTACCTTCATCAATGTGTTTTGTCACATCCTCAAAGAATTCAATAAAGCTTGTGTGGCATGACCTGCCCCTCACAGCCATGCTAACTATTTCTAATCAAATTGTGCTTTTCCAAATAATCATAAATACTATCTCTCAGAATCCTCTCCAATAATTTGCCCACTAAAGAAATAAGACAGACTTAGTCTGTAATTTCCAGGATTATCCCTATTCCCTTTCTTGAACAAGGGAATAACATTCGCCACCCTCCAACCTTCTGGTACTATTCCAGTGGACAGTGGATGCAAAGATCATTGCTGCCCCTTTGGCAATCTCTTCCCTCGCTTCCTGTTGTAACCTTAGGTATATCTCATTTGGCCCAGGGGACTTATCAATCCTCATGTTTTTGAAAGTTTCTAGCACATCCTCCTTCCTAACATCAACCTGTTCCAGCATATTTGCCCGTTTCATGCTGTCCTTACAAACGTCAAGGTCCCTCTCACTGGTGAATACTGAAGCAAAGTATTAATTAAGGACTGCCCCTACGTCCTCTGACTCTGTACACAAGTTCCTTCCACTATCCCTGATTGGCCCGACCCTCACTCTGGCCATCCTCTTGTTCCTCATATAAGTGTAGAAAGCCTTGGGGTTTTCCTTGAACCTACCCACCAAGGGTTTCTCATACCCCCTTCTAGCTCTCCTCAGTCCATTCTGCAGTTCCTTCCTGGCTACCTTGTAGACCTCTAGAGCCCTGTCCGATCCTTGTCTCCTCAACTTTAAGTAAGCTTCATTCTTCCTCTTGACTAGGTGTTCCACATGTCTCGTCATCCAAGGTTCCTTCACCTTACCATCCTTTCCTCGCCTCAATGAGACAAACCTATCCAATATCTGTAGCAACTGCTCCCTAAACAACCTCCATATTTCTGTTGTGCATTTCCCTGAGAACATCTGATCCCAATTGGTGCTCTGTAGTTCTTGCCTAATAGCATTGTAATTCCCCCTCCCCCAATTAAACACTTTCCCAGTATTGTTTAGAAGATTGAGTTTTTTTTTTAAACAGAGCATATGACAGTCTAACATGACATCATGTTGTGACCTGGGCCCCACCCTTTCTCAGAACAGCAGCGCTAACTTTCTGCTGACAGGTTTTAAACCTTATCACACACCACCCATCTGGCAAATTGGGAGATTTTAGACAAGACTAAATTCTGGATTTCTAAACTTAAAAATGTCTAGATATGATCAACCCACTGGGTTTCTTCCAGAGCCACAGTGATTTTGCTTTTTGTGTTTTTAATAGGTTTCAAGAACGCAGTAATGTCACAGCAAGACTTCTGGGGCCAAAGTGTTTAAGAACAGGAGCTTCGATATAAAAATCACCTTTTAAAATCATTTGGACATAACATGGTTTCTGAAACTTGGATTCAAAAAAAATTAGCTGATACAAGTTCAATTGAACTTCATGGGGACAAAAATTTACATTTTTTTGAATTTTAAACAAAAAGGTAACATAAGTAGTCTGGATGGTTTTAATTTGCATCAAAAACTGTGACAGACTGTACGGGAAGAAGAAATTAATTGGCCACTAATGAAAACTGTCCGACCAACAACACTACTGAGGGTATACACAAAAGAAACCCTCAAGTCTATTGATGCCATTTTTGAACTTGGGATAATTTTAAAAGAAGGAAGTTACTTTTGAGAAAACTGGGCTTTTTTTTGAAGCAAAAAAAACAGAATTTGTTAATAGTTGAAACTACAGAGTAATGCTCGATTTCTGTTTTAAACATATTAGTTTGTTTTTAAGACTGGACAGTAAGGTTTGTTTTTGCAAAACTCCGGAGTATGATAGAATGGATATCAGTAGGGTGCTTAACTTAAAATGAAAAATAATGACAATATTGAGAGAATCAAATACAGTCATAGAGATATACAGCATAGAATCCCTCTAAACCCTTCCTATTCATATACCCATGTTGTGGTTGTACCAGCCTCCACCACTTCCTCCCGCAGTTCTTTCCATACATGCACAGCCACTTAGCTGCTGCCCTGCTGTGAGCTCCCACACAGAGGTTTCTTCAAGGTCAGCTGTGAATTTCGCTGTTTGTTTATTTTTCTTAGAACAAACTCCGATATCAAGAGATACTTCAAACCAGACAGCAAAAGCAGCAGCTGTGCAGGTTACTGCTCGGTCAGACAGCTGTGTAGGTTTCTTTCTCTGTTTGAATCACTGCTCTCGTGCTCACTGCCTTTGTCCCTCCTCTTCTTTTTTAAAGTACCATTGTTTTGATATTTTTACCCACACCCCACCAAGTTCCAAAACAATGCAGCAGCTTATAAAACTGTAATTGCTGGTCCCAGAATTTAAGGAAGCCAGTTCCAACACTGAAAAAAAAAATCCTTAAAAAAGCTGCAGCTCTTAAAACCACAGTTTCCCCCCCCACCCCCCTGTCCATCTATAGGATTTGGGAATGACTCATCTTGGGTGTATTTAAATGGAATATATCTAGTGAAAGGAAAATAAATTTTGGATTTGGAAAATTAAAAACATGATGTTGTCGGTTGGGGGGGGGGGGGGGGGGGGGGGGAGGTGTAGAATGTACTTCCTGGGAGAAATCCACACGATGGTGAAAGGTGAGCTAGTGTCTTTTAAATTCATGCAGAGTGTGCTGCTGTAATTAAATGTACCATAACCAGCTAAACATTAGCCAAAATTTTTAAAGAATGAGAGTATAGTTTCAATGCAAAATGAGGAAAGAGGCAGAATGCCAACAATTCAGTGTAAGAAGAAAAGAAAGCAAAAAACAGAGACACCAAGGGTGGAGGTACTTCCCTCAGTTGGAAGTCAACCTTCTGCTTCCAAACACTGAGACAATGGGAGGAGATTCCATACACAACACCACAGAACTGGGAGTAAACATCTCCATGGAGAATGAAGCCATTAAAGCCATTTTTCAATTTAATTATCTGAACCCCATTATTCTCTAATCATAGATAGACCAGTACCTCAGAAAAGCATCTGGTTAAAATTTCTCTTCTTTATTCTTTCTTCAGTTGAATTAAGTCAAAAGCTAGGACAGCTGCCTGGTATGACCTTGCAAAGGTCAGACAGACCCATCATTGAGGATGTTTAGTTATGTTTTGTCTACTCAAAGTTTGATATTAACAGTTCTAGCAGCTTTTTTTTTTTAAAAAGAATCTGCAATATATAATCAAGAAATTTGAGAACCAAAATTATACTTTAGAAGTAAATGAGTTACATGTTAAGTCTGCTTTCTCTTCCCAAATGCTGCCAGATATGTGGAGTTTCTGCTTTTGTATCAGATTTCTAGCATTGGTTTTTGGTTTTATTTTGTTTAGTTAAAAAATTGTCATGATGAGTCAATAAGGACATTTCCTTGTCAAAAGAGGAATGTTTAAATATGCGGTCCCTTAAATACTGGATTTTCTTACTATTTACTGTGAAGCACGAGATTTGTTTAATATCTATCACAGCAACATTTAACTTTCCAAAATTCTAGCGTATGAAAACAAGGGGAAAAGTTATGAAGAACTCTGAAGTGACGACGCCCATTGAATTAGCTTCAAAATTTTATCTGGTGCCCAACGCATCCTGTCAGTCTGTTGTTTTCAAAAGTAAGTAG